CGTCTTCAGATCCTCCAGTGGAAGGGGCGAATCACAATGTCTTCAGATCCTCCAGTGGAATGCTGCCAATAACATCGTCTTCAGATCCTCCAGTGGAATGCTGGAGGGATGTCACAGGACAAAAAGATCCAAGTCAAGAAAATCCTACACCAATGTCTTCAGATCCTCCAGTGGAATGCTGGAGGAATGTAACGGACAAAAAGATCCAAATACAGAAAATCCTACAAACCTGACAAAGGGCCAAGTACAGAATATCCTACAAACCTATGATGTAGACATTTTCACAATTATCAACCAGAAAATCCTACAAATCTTTGATGTAGACATTTTCACAATTATGAAAGCAAAAATTTCGGATGTCAAACTGAAGTACTTCCAATTCCCAGGTTACACCCTGTACCTTCTACCTAATACCGCCAAGTAGCAAGTGGAATTCTAACTGGTGTAAAAGATGGCCTCAAATCACATTACGATCTAATCAAGAATATGGGCTCGACACAAGACATATGTGAAATAATCAGATTAACTGTTTGGAAATGTCAAAACCACTTCAAGATATATGCAGTCTATAATCCACCACAGAATAGCCACAACTTTGACATTCTCTGTAATCCACCCCAGAATTGTCCCAACTTTGACTATCTGAACCCCACCCCAGAATTGTCCAAACTTTGACTTCCTGAACATCTCATCCCAGAATTGTCCCAACTTTGACTTTCTGAACATCTCACTAACCAGAATTGTCCCAACTTTGACTTTCTGAACAACTCACACATGTCAAAACCACTTCAAGATATATGCAGTCTATAATCCACCACAGAATAGCCACAACTTTGATTTTCTAAACTTCTCACACAAAACAGCAGTATTAGGAGACTTCAACGCCCACTCCACCAGATGGGGCTATAAGGATACAAACATAGCTGGAAAGGAAATTGAAGACATGCTAAACAGCAACCCTCTGGAACCTATTTACAGCAATGAGGATCCTGCTACATATTTGCGCTACAATGGAACCAGAACATCTCCTGACTAACTCCTGGCTTCAAGCGACATCGGTGAGCATACACGCCGCAAAATAATTGACGATCCTGGTTCTGGTCACAAACCAGTCATTGCTAGTATTACCATCGGCAGCAAAAGCATGACAAGAAAAGTATCAACTAAGCTATCATGGAACTTCAAGAAGGCTGTCTAGCCTTGTTTCACAAACCTTTTAGAGAATGAATTTCACACAAGTCCCCTCAACTTCAACCAACATCCTGACAAACTTTGCACTGATATCACGAATATTATGATCAGATGTGCAAAGAAAACTATTCCCCGAGGCAAAACTAAACACTATCGAGTGTTTTGATCTGAACACCATGAGAAACTGAAAAGAAAGCGGGACGCCCTTCGCAACACTGCTGTTCAGACTGGAGGAAAGGAAGAAATACAAGCCTGGAGAAGGCAGTCAGCTGTGCTAAGACAAGCCATCTTACAAGCTAAACGGACTTCCTTCGACAACCTCATCTCAAATATAAACTATCAAAGTGATAGCCAACGCACATTCAAATTTCTGAGAAACCTGCGAAACAACAGGGAAAGACCCAAGAAAGAACCAATACG